GAAGAAGTCATTTTGTAATATATTTAAAGCTGAAAAATAAAACAAGTATTATAAGCTTATTTCAAATATATTGGTAAATAACATAGAAACAAGCTTAAAAAGTTAAAGGTGGCCAGGCATGGTGGCTCATGCTTGTAATCCTAGCACTTTGGGAGGCCTAGATGGTCAGATTGCCTGAGCTCAGAAGTTCAAGACCAGCCTGGACAAAATGGTGAAACCCCATCTCTACTAAATTACCAAAAAAAAGGAAGGAAGGAAGGAAGGAAGGAGGGAAGGAGGGAAGGAGGGAGGAAGGAAGGAGAAGAAAAGAAAAGAAAAGAAAAGAAAAGCTGAGCGTGTTGGCACCTACCTGTAATCCCAGCTACTCGGGAGGCTGAGACATGAGAATTGTTTGAACCCAGGAGGCAGAGACTGCAGTGAGCAAAGACCTTGCCACTGCACTCCAGCCTGGGCAACAAAGTGAAACTCTGTCTCAAAAAAAAAAAAAAAAAAAAGTTAAAGGTGATTGCCACTGGAAGCACAATTACAGATTTGAAAGAAATGTGTCAAGGTAGTCCTGTCATTAGAAAATTTATAGTGTTATTTGACTTGTAATGTTTTATATATTTTTTAACTTAGATATAAAATTTAAAAGTTAAAATTAAGTATTTATAAGACAGAGCACAGCACCTGGCACAAATTAGGGACACAATATATGGTAGCTACTATTAACACTAAGATTATAATTCTCTTATTCATCATTAAAGTCATTGATTACCTATTTCAAATAAAAGAGAAACATAAGCCTACAAACCTAGAGAAGTTATTTGATGTGTCTAAGTTTATGCAGTTACTTAGTGATAGAACTACACTGGAGTTTCCTGACTCCAACTTTGGAAATTTAACTCCAGGTTCTTTCAATCACATCATGGATGATTTAGAGAAAAACCTTCAGGGTTATCTCTGGCTAGCAAGTATGGTTGCAGGCAGAGCTGAGCATTCATAGCTTAACCTAGAATCTGGCCCGATAGATTATGAATGCATAATAAATAGACTGACAGAAAAATAAATAATTTTAGGCAAGGTGTCAGCCTCACCTAGGATTCTGCCTCTTCATGATACTAGCTTACCACAACTCCTGCCTTTTACTATTTATCTTCAAAAAGGACAAATCCAGGGTCTTAGGCAAAACCTAAAGGAAAGAGCTGCAGTGGAAGTTGCATGAAAATACTTGCAGTAGCTTAGTAATTGTGGAATCATCAACTTAACTCTGTTGTATGCTTTAAACTTTTTAGAACGTTAGAGAAGTCTTTGTGCTGAATTTATGTGGGCCCCAGTCAAATGCAAAAGGTCATAGATTTTATGTAGTTTAACACATTTCTGTTAGATATAAATGGGAAAACTGAAAATCATGGAGGGGACTATGGACTGCCAACATTTAACAAACATTTATAAATTGCCTGATCAGGATCAATGGTCCTGGACCTACATGTATTATTTAAAAGATTTAGGAGGCAGAAGTGTTAGGAAACTTGATAACAAGTGCAATTAAAATATTATAAACTGTGCGTTCAAGTTTTCTATCTATGTTAGATGATAAACACTGTTGTGTGACAATAATCATAGATCTTATTTTTCTGAGAAAATCATTTTAAAGCTTGTATTTCATAGAAAAATTGCCACATCTTATAAAGAATCCAGGTTTTCTCATAATTTGAATATAGTACTATGTTAGAGTTCTCCAACAGTAAGTATGTGTGTGTGTCTGCCTGTGTGTGTGATGGAGATTAATGTATTATAAGGATAATAAATTATAATTATGTATTTATAGAGTCTGAGGATTCCCAAAATTTCATTTGGCAGACTGGAGACCCAGGAAAGCCAGTGTGTAGATGTGTAGTTCCAGTCTGAAAGCCAGCAGTCTCAGAACACAAGAAAAGCTGATGTTTCAGTCTGAGACCAAAGGCCAGAAAAGACCTAGTGTCCAAGGTTGTGCATTCAGGCAGAAGTTGGTTCTTCTTACTCAGCCTTTTCTATTTTATGCAGGTCTTCAACTGATTGGATGGGGCCCACCCACATTAGAGACGACAGTCTGCTACTCAATCTACTTATTGAAATGTTAATCTCATCCAGAAATACTCTCATAGTCACTCCCAGAATAATACTTGACCAAATGTCTAGGTACCCCACGGTCCAGTCAAGCTGACACATAAAATTAACCATCACAAGTACACAAAGGTACAAAGAACCAAAATTATTGGAACCTAAATGTTGAATTATATGAGAGAAAAGCAAGAAAAATTATTAGTGGAAAGGCAGGGAAAATATGTGAATCATTTGAGCTTTAAAGACCACATTGCATTTAGATAATCGTGAATTATCATAAATCTTTTCGCAAAAATTCAGACATTGTATTTAAGGGAGATTATAGTAGAACAAATATGATGGAAATAGCACATCAAGACCCTGAGAAGATTAAAAGAAACAACAAAATCAACAGAAGTTGGTGAAAATATAATACAGTGAGAAAAAAAATTGAATGTCATGGATAGCAGTGAGAAATTGAGAATGGATTTATTTATAGGGTCAAAGATGTGGCATTTGAGATGACATGACATGTAATAGTGTACCTTTTAATTCTCAACCACCTAATAAAGTATTGTAACATACTTAAAATGTAAACATGAGTTTTAATATTTGAGGGAACTTTTTTACTATCAAAGTTGTTACAAGTTAGTATTATATTTTGTTTACTTTGACAAATAGTATTCCTGGGATGTGAAACTCATCTATAAGGAGGGCTGAGTTTTCATATATACCGGTCCCATAGGACTGAGTTCAGGACTTGAGTATTTTGATAGGGGGATAGTAGATGACCCTATGTACTTTAGTATGTGTTACTTTAATTAGCTAGTAAGATTGTTCTCTTCATTTGGTAGTGAAGAGGAGGCCAGAGTTTTAGAGAGGTAACTTTGGAGTTTGGGACACATCCAAGATAGGCAGGTCTTGGTACGGTAACATAGTGATACTTTCAGACCCAGAGACATACTAACTAGGCAGAGGTCCAAGGCAGACTAGGGAGTGGTAGCAATCCTAGTAAGGATATTATGTTGGTTGAGGTAAATTTGCAAATCAGGTAAATAAAAAACAAAGATAAACTTTTCCTGTATATATGACAGTATAACTATTATATAAATTCCAGATCCTTACAGTGGTCATGTATTGGTTCTGAAAAAAAAAAAAAAAAAGTGATTCCAAATGTCAAACTCTTCTATGTCTTTCATTTTCTATTTTCATATTTACCCTGGCTAATATGATTGTTAACTGATACTTTGGAGAATGTTATGAATAGAAATTATTTATATGTAGTGTTGATTAATTGGGAAAACTAGGGATATATATTTCTCTTGATCCTTTCTTAATATGAGTAAAGTTTCATATATCTATATAGTGTTCTTCAGATTTCAAATGATCACCATTCTTTATTTAAGAAAATAAAGTTGCTGTGTATGTGTCCAGACAAATGTATATACAACTTGTATTCTTCTCAACACTGATTTCATGTATTTTAGATTGTGATAGAAATGTTTTTATTTGAAAAAGCATGTGTACATATATTTCCCTCACACTCTTCAATTTTTAGGAAAAATATGTTTATGCCTGCTGAAAACTTAGCTTCTGAGTAGATAACATCATTTTTAAAAGACCTTCCCCCCGCCACCTCAAGATTTTCTTTTTAAATGCTTCACAGTTAAATTTAAATTTCTATATTTAGGATTGTGTTTATATACCAACCACAGTATCCAGGAAATTCAGTGGTAAAGCTGACACATAGCGAGTTTATAGTCTATTTTGTAGTCTGTGTATTTAGAGAAGGTTTGAAGCTTACTTAGCAAAATGGATTAAACATTCAAGCAGAATATCTTTAGCACAAATGTACTATTTGATTTCATATATTTGTTGAGATAACCGTGTGTCACTTTTTAAAGATTAGTTCTCAAGAATATGTGTTATGTTTATCTTTTAAAAGAAGGATGCATTCAGGAACAGCTTTCATATGTAAATATTTTTATATTATTTCATATTGGATAGACTTGGTTTGGTGCAATCAGTATGATATGATCAAATTTGGAAGAAGTTACAGGCACATTTTTACAGTGTTTTCATTAGCATCTTTATTTTTTTCAGATGGACATATTTTATGTTGCTTCCAACTAATCAAAATAAGAAATTGAGTTTGCCTGTGCTAAAAAAAATAGAACTATCATTTTTCACATTCTTTTATTTTCCAGGTCATTTTTAAGTAAGATTGTGTTTCTATGACTTATGAATTCCTGAAAAATCTTTACTTTGTAGATATAAGGGCGTAGATGAACATTTCAGGGGGAATCTAACTTTTCATGCAGTAATGTTTTGTGTTGTACATTCCAGATACAGTTAACTTTTTGTGTGGATGTGATTAGTATGGAAAGAAATTAATGCAGTCCAGTATTATGATTTATGGACTGAATCCTTTACCCACTGAAGACTTGCCAAAACTAAACGTATTTTTTTTCCTTTGGATATTAGAAACAGCTACTGTTTTTGTTGATCTTTTAAAGTTCTGAATGGGCCTATTTCAAATCATAGCAGCATGGGAGCTCAGATTAATAATATACTTATTCAACTAGTGATACTGAGTGAAACCATTGCTCACATGAGTATGAAGGATAAAATTTCATGAAATTATTTTCAGGTGCATTAATGCATTTTTGGAAGCTGTGCATGATTTTTCTTTTGCATGAAAGAAATAAAAGATTTCTGTTTATTGTATTGGTTACAGGTGGGCTCATAAGTTAATTTAATTTCATTTTATATCTTAAAAACTTAAGACATTTAGCTCTTAAAAGCAGTAATGTGATTGCTGGATTATTCCCAAAGGTTTTCAACTCTTAGTAGATTTATCTCTCTAGAGACATCATGACTGTACTATACGTAATTTATATTACTGAGAAAAATTTCTAAATTTTCATTATTTTTAGTTACAGCAAGCTGCTGAAGTTTCTCAGCTGCGTGGAGCAAGAGTAATCACTCCTGAAGATCTTCTGTTTTTGATGCGCAAAGATAAGGTAATATAAGATAATTTATTGTATTAAAATCCAGGTGTTATATTTAATTGAACTTGTATGTGGACACTACATATCCTTGTTACATTGCTTACAAATTAAAATCATAACTATTGAACTGACATTTTTGTCCTCATGGGTTGCACAACAAAATGGATTTACAAAAGAATTGATATTTATTATGTGGACAAAAGCACTTATATAAAAACGGTGCTAACAGCGAACCTTCACTTATCCTTATGTGTCTATATAGACACTTTTATTGCTACATGTCACTCACTAATTATTGACACTATGTTCTGTTGTCATAAACGGGATATAACTGAATGGTACATTTATTTTTCTTCTCTTTTTGTTGATTAACATTTCCAGAATTATAGACTCTCCTAGAGTAATTTTTTAAGCCTGACATACAAAGTTTAGTCTGTGGTTCTAGCTTATTGGAAAAAGCAAATTAATTAAGATGAATTTTCAGTGGGATAAATACATACCATAATTTCTGATTTTGACAAAGACCTACCTTTCTTACTCTTTGAAATGTGGTATTAAAATTTGTGATATTTGTGTGTCTAATTTTGTCATAATTATTTTCCCTGAGTAGCTAGTTGAAAATATTCTCTATTACTTTATGTTTCAGTTAATCAACTCTTAAATGATATGAAGAATGTTTAAAAAATGGAAAATCTTCGCTATTAAGAAAATTGTGATCTGATTTAGGATATCTATATGATTTAGTTGAAGAAGCATTTTAAAAGTCAAAATTTCAAGGTTGTATGATTAGATGGAGAGGCTATAGGATTTTTTGAAATGAAAGTTTCTGCCGAGGGTGAGGCAGTCGTATGTCCAGGGCACAAGATGCAAAGAAACTATTGAAAGTATCAAATGATGTGCATGTAAAGAACTTTGTAAAATGTAGTATGTTTCAGCTATTACAAGAAATCTTAAACCTGAAGTTCAGGAATGAATGATAATACATAATAATGATAATAAGTGGAAGCATACAATATGCTACAAAGGATTATCAGTTACTTTTAAAATTAAGCAGTATTATGGTCTACTAAATCTAAAGAAGGCCATCATTAAGACCTAACTATCATTCATCAGCTTCAAATTTCACAAAAATACATTTGTCAGGTTACAGATTATTTTCCATAAACATATAAACCAAATCTTCTAGCAAAAGGATAAGATTTCAGAGAATAAAAAACAGTAAAAAGGAATTGCTTGGCTTTTAAAGCAACTATTACAAACACACTGTCTAGGTATTTATAAGTTAATTTTTTAAAAATTTCATCTTGAGTATATACAAAATTCTATAGCATAAGTACAGTCAGCTTAGTATGGAGACTGATAATACAGTCTTCAAAAAAACTTTTAAACTTTTTTTTTTTAATGAGATGGAATCTTGCTCTGTCACCAGGCTAGAGTGCCATGGTGTGATCTCTGCTCACAGTAACCTCTGCCTCCTGGGTTCAAGCGATTCTCCTGCCTCAGCCTTCCAAGTAGTTGGGACCACAGATGCACGCAACCATGCCCAGCAACTTTTTGTATTTTTGATAGAAATGGAGTGTCACGATGTTGGCCAGGATGGTTTCGATCTCCTGACCTTGTGACTGCCTACCTCAGCCTCTCAAAGTGCTGAGATTACAGGTGTGAGCCACTGCACCTGGTCTAAAACTTTTTATAAGATTAAAAAAAGCAATTACGGCTGGGCGCAGTGGCTCACTCCTGTAATCCCAGCACTTTGGGAGGCCAGGGCAGGCGGATCACCTGAGGTTGGGAGTTCAAGACCAGCCTGACCAACATGAAGAAACCCCGTCTCTACTAAAAATACAATTATAAGCTGGGCGTGGTGGCGCATACCTGTAATCCCAGCTACTGAGGAGGCTGAGGCAGGAGAATAGTAAACTCAGGAGGTGGAGGTTGTGGTGAGCTGAGATTGCATGATTGCACTCTAGCCTGGGCAACAAGAGCAAAAACTTTATCTTAAAACAAACAAACAAAAAGGCAATTACAGTCGGGTACCTTATGATGACCTTTGGGTTAACAATGTACTGCAAATATAGCAGTAGGTCCCTAAGATTATAATGGAGCTGAAAATGTCCAATTATCTAGTGATGTTATAGCCATCGTAACATTGTAGTGCAATGTACGATTCCAGTTTGTGGTGATGCTGATGTATACCTGTTGCACTGCTGATGGTACAAGTCTAGCACATAAAATTATGTATAGTACATAATACTTGATAAAGATAATGACTGTTTCTTGTTTATGTATTTATAATCTTCATCATTATTTTAGAGTGTACTACTTGCATAAACAGTAAACTGTAAACCACCTGAGGTTGTTCCTTCATGAGATATTCCAAAAAAAAGCAGTTATCGAGGGAGATGACAGTTCCATGCATGCTATTGCCCTTGAAGACCTTCCAGTGGGACAAGATGTGGAAGTGGAAGACAGTGATATTGGCAGTCCTGACCCTGTGTAGGCCTAGGGGTGTGTGTGTGTGTGTTTGTGTGTGTGTGTGTATTAGTTCTTAACAAAGAAGTTCAAAAGCTAAAAGAAATTTTAAAGTAGAAAAAAGTTTATAGAATAAGGATATAAAGGGAAAACGTTTTCATATAGCTGTATAAAGTATTTGTGTTTTAAGTTAAGTATGAGTCAATTTTTTTAAAATTAAGAAGTCTATAAAGTAAAATAGTTACAGTGAGCTAATAAGGAACATTTATTATTGAAGAAAGAAAAATTTTAAATATAGTGTAGCATAAGGGTACCGCTTTTTTTGAATAATGTCTGCAATAGCATATACAGTAATGTCCTAGGGCCTTCAGATTCACTTGCCACTCATTCATTGACTCACCCAGAGCAACTTCAGGTCCTACAAGTGTCATCCATGGTATATGCCCTCCGCAGGTGTGTCATCTTTTATCATTTACATGGTATTTTAACTGTAATTTTTCTATATTTAGATATGTTTAGATACACAAATATTACCATTTTCTTACCCTTGCCTACAGTATTCAATATGATAACATGCTGTACGGGTTTGTAGCCCATGAACACCAGGCTGCACGTTGCTTAGGTGTGTATTAGGCTGCTGCATCTAAGGTTTATGTAAGTGTATTCTGTGATGCATTTCTTAGATCCCCATCGTGAAGCAATGTGTGACTATTGTGATTGTAGAGCATCCAGATATTTGTAAATGAAAAATGCTTTTTAAAAGACTTGTGTTTTACCCTTTGTGTTTGATGACTACCTTTTTTTTATCTCATAGCAGTATGCTAAGCATTACTTTATTTTCTCTGATGGCATGGGGTACAAGTTTATTAAATTTAGGTATAGTAGTCTTTTATTAGTAAAGCAAATCTATGTATAGGTTTTCTTATTTATTTTATATTTTTAATAGAAAAAACTTAGAAGATTGCTAAAATACATGTTTATCCGAGACTACAAATCAAAGATTGTCAAAGGCATCGATGAGGATGATCTTCTCGAAGGTAACCAAAACAAAATATAAAACTAAAACACTAGCTTATGACACATGTGTGCTAAATAACACATTTTTTCAATTGCAATGTAGATATTCTTGAGAACTAATTAATGTTATTTACTGTCAAAAAATCAAGTGGAATATCCTTGCAAAAGAATATATTTCTGTATACCATGTTACCTATTTGATATTACTACACTTCTCATAGAATGTAATTCTTGACATATAGTTCTGTAGATGAATTGAATTGCTTCTTTTTATGGAGCACATAATGAATACAGACTTAGAGCAAAACAGACTTGAATTCCAATCTTTTATAACTGTGTCAAAATACACATAATGAGAGTATCAGAAGATGAGAGAAAAAAGAGTAGAAAAAGTATACAAAGAAATAATGACTGAAAACTTCCCAAATTTGATGAAAACTACAAGTCTACTAATTCAGGCATATCAACAAGCTCCGATTAGGATAAACATAAAGAAGTCTGCACTAAGACACATTTACTGAAAATGTGGAAAGACAAAAACAGACAAAAAAATAATAAAAGTCACAAGAGAAAAGCATCCACAAGGGAACCCTGACAATATTGATGGCTAACTTTTCATCAACAATAGAGGTCAGAAGACAGTGGGGTGATATATTCAAAGTACTGAAAGAAAAAAACTGTCCTCCAAGAAACTTATATCCAGCAAAACTATCTTTTAAAAATGAATGCAAAATGCATTCCCAGATAAACATAAACCAGGATAATTTCTTGGTATCAGACCCATATAAGAAAAGTTTTTAAGACTAAAAGCAAGCTGCATCAAACAATAATTTGAATCTACTCATTTATAAAGAGAATTAAGTATATAAATATAAGAGATAGTATAATAATCTATTTCCTTCCTTTTTTAAAAACTGATTTATAAAGCAGATGTATAAAAATATGTATATAAAAACTGTGATGTTAGGTCTGCAGTATTTGGAAATATATTTGACAGTAACAACACAAATGATGTGAGTGGTAATAATGCTGTACTGGCGTAAGGAAATGGGACTTCAAGTTACATAAAGAAATAAAAAGAACCAGAAGTGGCAAATAAAATGGTTAATATAACAAACTATAAATATATAGTTGGTCTACTATAAAGATACAAATTACTGAAACTGAATCAAGAAGGAATGGAAAATCTGAATAGGACAGAAAACCTCAGTCACAGATTATTTCACTGTTGAATTCTACCAAATGTTTAAAGAAGAATACCAATTATTTCCCAACTAATTCTATAAACATAATGTAGTTTGATCCTGATATGAAAACCAGGCAATGATACCGCAAGAAAAGAAAACTGCAGACTGGTATCTTTTTTAATACAGATGTAAAAATCCTCAACAGAATGCCATTAAATAAATCATGACCAAATGGGATTTATCCTAGGGATGTAAGGTTGTTTTAAACTTAGAAAACAATTCATGTAATGCATCAAATTACCAGAATAAAGGACAAAAATCACATGATCACCTCAATAAATATAGGAAAAGCATTTAACAAAATTCCAAAAGTCTGTAATGAGAGGAACATTCAGCAAACTAGGAAGAGAAGGAAACCTCTTTAACTTGATAAAGATGATTGCATGGACTGAATGTTTGTGTCCCTCCTCACTCTTTAAATATATATGTTAAGGCCTAATTCCGAGTGTGGTAGTATTTGGATGTGAGAATTGTGGGATGTATTAATATTTAGGTCATAAGGATGGAATCTTTATGATTAGGGCACTTCTGAGAAGAGATACAAGAAAGCTTCTTTCCTCTGTTTCTGCTGACCACCATATGTGGATACAACAAGGTCATGGTCATCTGTAAGCTATGAAGCAGGCCTTCACCAGATACTAAATCTGCTGGCACCTGGATCTTAGACTTCCCAACCTCCAGAACTGTGAGAAATAAATGTTGGTTGTTTAAGCCTCCCGGTTTATGATGTATTTGTGTAGCAGCCTGAGCTAAGACAGATATATATGGAAAACCCAAACCTAATATCATACTTAATGGTGAAAGACTGTATGCTTTCCCTTGCAAGATCGGGAACAAGACAAAGATGTCCGTTCATGCTACTTATATGGAATATTGTCCTGAAGGTTTTGGCCAGGTGCTTTTTCAGAAAGAGAAATGAAGGGCATCAGATTAGAAAGAAAGAAGTAAAACTATCTCTGTTTACAGATGACATAATTTTGTATATAGGAAATTCTAAGAAATTCAATAAAAATTATTACAGCCAATAGATAGTTCGATATGTTTGCTGGGTATCAGAGAAATATGCAAAAATCAAGCATATTTTAATATATTAATAAACAACTCAAAAATGAAACTAGGAAAACAATGCCATTTACAGTAGCATCAAAAAGAACAAAATATTTTGGAATAAAATCACCAAAGACCAAAATCTAAAAGGAATCTATAAAGGAATATTATTTATGTACTGAAAACTACAAAATATTGTTGAATTAAGGTCTAGATGGTAATGCAAAGACATCTTATGTTCATGAATCGGAACATTCAATATTATTAAAATGTTAATACTCTACAAATTGGTCTACAGATTTCATCTGCTTTTCTGTAGAAATGAATACACTGACTCTACCAATCATATAGAAATGCCAGATTCTGACATGGAAATGACTCATCTAGGTTATGAGGGGACTAGAATACCCAGAACAAAGTTGGAGGACTCATGCTTACTGATTTCAAAACTTACCATAAAGCTACAGTAATTAAAATAGAGCAGTACTGGCATAAGGATAGACATGTTTATCAATGAAATGAAGTGGAATGAGAGTTCAGTAATAAGCCTTCACATTTAGGGTCAATTGATATTGACAAGGATTTCAAGAGAGTTTGATAGGGAAAAAAAATAGCCATTTTGACAAATATTGCTGGGGGCAACTGGATATCCACATACAGAAGAAAGAATTTAGGTGCCTATAACAACACAGTAAACAACGTTAACTAAATATGGATCATAGACTTAAACATAAGAGCTCAAACTATAAAATTCTTAAAAAGAAATACATGAATAAATGTTGATGACTTTAAATGGGGCAAAGCATTCTGAATGTATGACACCAAAAGAACAAATAGCAAAAGAAAAAAAGTAGAAAAATTGGACTTGATCAATTTTAAAACTTTTATGTTTAAAAGAACAACATCAAGAAAGTAAAAAGACAAACCACAGAATAGGAGAAAATTTTTCTTATCATATATCTGATAAGGTACTTTTGTACAGAATACATAAAGAACATGTACAACTCAACAATTAAAAGACAAGTAGCCCTATTTAAAAATAGACAAAGGGTCTGAATAGACATTTCTATAAAGATTGGTTAATGGGCTATAGACACTGAAAAAGATACTTAAAAATCAGGTTGGGCACAGGGGCTCATGCCTGTAATCCCAACACTTTAGGAGGCTGAGGCAGGTGCATCACTTGAGGTCAGGAGTTCAAGACCAGCCTGGCCAACATGGAACAACCCCATCTCTACTAAAAATACAAAAAATTAACCAGTTGTGGTGGTAATCCCACTTGCCTGGGAGGCCAAGGCAGTAGAATACCTTGAAACAGGAGGCAGAGGTTGCAGTGAGCCACAATTGTGCCACTGCACTCTAGCCTGGCCAACAGAGTGAGACTCAATCTCAAAAACAAAAAAAAAATTAGGCATCAGAGAAATGTAAATTAAAACCACATTGTTATAATACCCTATACCCACTAGGATGACTGTGATCAAGAGATAGAAACAAGGCTGAGTATGGTGGCTCGTACTTATAGTCCCAGCATTTTGGGAGGCTGAGGCAGGAGAATCACTTGAAGCCAGGGTTTTGAGACCAGCCTGGGCAACAAAGTAAGACCCCATCTCTAGAAAAAAAATTTTTTTTAATTAGCCACTCTCAGTGGCATGCGCCTGTGGAACCAGCTACTCAGGAGGCTAAGGAAGGAAGATAACTTTAGCCCAGGAATTTGAGGCTGCAGTATGCTGTGATTGCACCACTGCATTCTAGCCTGGTAACAAAGTGAGACCCCCATCTCTTAAAAACAAACAAATAAATAAACAAGATGATAATAACAAGTGCTGTTGAGGACATGGAGAGCTAGAACCTTCTTACATTGTTAGTGAGAGTATAAAATGGTGCAGACAATTCAGAAAGCAGTTTGGAAGTTCCTCAAAAGGTTAAAGATAGATTTACCAACTGAACCAGCAGTTCAATTCGTAGCAAAAGAATAAAGAAAAATGAAAATATGTATTCACATAAGAATTTGTACATGAGTGTTACCAGCAGCATTATTTATGATAATAAAAATAGGAAATATTCCAAATTTCTGTCAATGGGCGAATGAATAAATAGTAAGTATGGAATATTCACATAAAGGAATATTATTTGGCTATAAAAAGGAATCGAATACTGATATATGCTAAAACATGGATGAACCTTAAAATATTAAGTTAAATGAAAGAAACCAATCCCATAGATGACATATTTTCTTCTATTTATGTAAAATGTCTAGAATAGGCAAATCTAAAGAGATAGAATGTAGAGTAGTGGTTGCCTAGAGTTGGTGGAGGCGGGGATTGAGATAGGGAATCATTTAAACTCCCATTAGAAGTCTCCACTCAAACCTTTACCATTAACTGCGTTACAGCTGAATCCCAACAAGCAGCAAAAGAAAGGGGGGAAAAAACCTTATGGTGAAGGGGTTAACACACCAACACAGAGGAAACTAAGGCAGAAAGAACATAGTATGTGCCAGCAAGACAGTTGGGACTAGATGGCAGCTTAAATTTAAAAAAGAAAGGAGAATAATAGTGGGATACAAATATAGCACAAAAGAGATTTTCTGGAGTTAACACACAGTACTTTACAACTAAATAACTTAAATTTTTTTTTTATAAAGTCACTCTTCAGACCTAATTAGGGAAGACAAAATGGCATAGTTACCTCAAAGCACATAGGAAGAGTAAAGATATGAAAATTGTGAGGGAAAAAGGTAAGAAACATAGAGGATAAATTTGGAGGAATTAAGATGCATACAATAGGGATTTCAGAAAGAAAAAAGGGGAGATGGAGGAGAGGCAATTATTAATAAATTATAGAGCTAAGAAAATCCAACACTGCACAGTAAAAAGGTTGAGTAGATAAACACCTGGAATGTTTTAGTAAAATTTTTTATCTCTAAAAATAATGAGACAATCTTATAAAAGCTCAGTCTCCTCTACCCCCAGAAAGGAATTATTAAATGAATCACATTATAATTGGATTTCTTATGTGTAACACTGGAAGCTAGAAGACACTAGCATAGTATTTATTGATTTATGCGAGGAAGGGACTGAAATCCAAGGACTTTATACCCAATTAAGGTAAGAAATCTATCTATTGTGCTAAAGAAAGGCCAGGTGCGGTGACTCACGCCTGTAATCCCAGCACTTTGGGAGGCCGAGGCGGGTGGATCACGAGGTCAAGAGATCGAGACCATCCTGGTAGAAATGGTGAAACCCAGTTTCTACTAGAAATACAAAAAATTAGCTGGGCATGGTGGCGCGTGCCTGTAATCCCAGCTACTCGGGAGGCTGAGGCAGGAGAATTGCCTGAACCCAGGAGGCGGAGGTTGCGGTGAGCCGAGATCGCGCCATTGCACTTCAGCCTGGGTAACAAGAGTGAAACTCCGTCTCAAAAAAAAAGAAGTATGTTGAGTAGTTACTCTTGTTTGAACTCAGTATTTATCTCTAATGATACAATGTGTGAGAATATGCAATATAAGTGCTGAAACTCTATTGGTACTCTAAAAATAATGCCCCTTTTCATCAAAAGCCAAAAGTTTAGAGGTAGAGAGAGAAGGGGTGAAGTAAAAATTTTTCACAGATCTGTTGGTAGGAAGCTGAGATAGGGAAAATGAAAGTATTCTGAAAGTCTCTTGATACTGGAATGCAGGAAATATTAGAAGAAAATGTTACTTTATTGGGAAAATGTTACCTCTCGGTAGGGGTATAATTAATATCTTGTTTTAAATAATAATTTACACTGTTGTTTACAATATCTTCAAGCAATGTGTCGAAGCAGAAAAGAGTGAGGTAAACATTAAAGAAAATGGAAAAGGAGATGATAGACATTAACAGAAAAGTATATTACAATTTCAAATTAACAAAGAGAAGAAATGGAAGGACTATCAACATGGCCAGACCATTAAAAGTGAAGAAAGGAAAAGGAGAAAACAAGAATATGAAATAAATACCAAACATAAACCAAGAGAAAATGATAAAACTCAAATAGATCAGTCATTGCACTAATTAAGAAATGGAGTAAGTCCTTACATTTAGACAGATTATAAACAACCACAAAAATAAAACTTGAAGATAAAGAAAGGTTATAAATAACGGGATGAACAAATAAATAGTAGATAAATGCAAACACAAGGGCAAAAATGTAGAACTGGCAATATTAGTGTCATGCAAGGTGTAATTTAACATTAAGGCCCAAACAGGATAAAGCAGAATATAATATAATTACAGAAGACACAGTTTTTAACATAATAGACCCATAAGCACTAAACAGTAAATCAACAAAATACCGAGTTATGCTTAGACCTGTGTTTAATTGGAATAGCATGTCTATGAATTTTTTCAGTATATTCACAGAACATTTACAAAACTTAATTGTGAAATTGGCCATAAAGTGAATCTTTACAAATCTAAATAAGAGTAGATATCTGATAGGATCCTATTCCATCTGTGTGAGGCGAGAGAAGTCATCTCAAAAAAAAGTTAAAGATGAACTTAACTTATTTGACAGTATAATTTCACTCTTGTTACCCAGGCTGGAGGGCAATGGTGTGATCTCGGCTCACTGCAACCTCTGCCTCCTGGGTTCAAGTGATTCTCCTGCCTCAGCCTCCTGAGTCACTGGGATTATAGGCATGTGCTGCCATGCCTGGCTAATTTAGTATTTTTATTAGAGAGGGAGTTTCTCCATGTTGGTCAAGCTGGTTTCGACCTCCCAATGTCACGTGATCTGCCCAGTTCGGCCTCCCAAAGTGCTGGGATTACAGGCGTGAGCCACCACACCAACAAATTTTAATTTTTTTATGGCAAAAGATGCTTTAAAATTCATAGGCAAATGAAAGGCTAGGATAAACATTTCTAACTCAGGTAACAAAGGGGTAATATAAATGAGCCCCTTAAATTGTTAAGAAAAAGACAATCCAGTTGAAAATGTGCAAAGGGTAAAAATAGACAACAGAAAGGCTTATTCAGATTGCTCACAAACATATGAGGAAAAATGTTTAGATTCATTAGGGAAATTAAATATTTTAATCACAATGATATATCACTTCATATTCATTAGACTTTTCTCATGGAGAGAAAAGGCATTCCTCATTACTCTTGGAAACTTGAAGGGTTAATGCACTGGTAAACAACATCTTAACTTCCATTAAAATTTAAAATGTTTGTACTTTTTAACTCAGTAGTTTCCTGTGAATCTGTCCCATAAACATTAAGCCAGCCATACAGAACGACATATGGATGGGATGTTTATTATAGCATTTCCCCACGGTAGCAAAAACCTGAAACAAACTATATGCCCCTCAATAGGGGATTGGTTGGAAAGCTGTGAGACATACATACTGTAAAATATTACACAGCTATTAAGAAGGAATCAGGGCTATACCAGTTGACTTGGAGGGATTTTTCTCCCTAAGTGACGAAGAAACACGAAGTGCAAGAAAAGAAAGAAATAGAAGGAATACTCTAAGAACCCTTTTCTAAAAAAAGTATAAATGAATAAAACAGCTCTATAAATGAATGTATTTTTATGGATATGTGAGCATGGAGAATACATATTGGGTGGCATTAATATGAGTTACAAGATCTCGAGTTGGAGGTTGGCTGATCATATAAAAGGGCAGGAAATGGGAAAGAGTAATCAAGCAAAAATGATATGTGATACCATTTTAATACATTTTAATTTATAGATATAAAAACTTTTTGAAGTAAAAATTTAAAAGAAATGATAAAAATGAATAAAAATGATCTGTGGACCTAAGAGAATAATATCGATTCTAATATGCATATAGGTATTAATGTGCTTAGAATTATATATTTTTTAAATCTAAAACCTTAAGTTGTCAAATTTTGAAAAATATATTCAGACATCTCACAGTGATTGTGCTTTTTATTAAAATTTCCTTTGTGTTATTCATTTTACTGTTATTTTGGTACATAAAAGTTTATGGCTGTTTAATATTCCTTTTAATATTGGATACTGTTTCACCCTGTCTCCTTTAGTGTTTTTGGTCTTGAGCTGTATTTTCTAATGTTAATGTTACCAGTTCTGCTTTCTTTGCTTGTATTTGCCTAGCATATGCTTACTCATCATCTTTTTGGATTGTCATTTTGTTTCAGAGGTGTCTGTATTTATATACCATATAGCAGTATTATTTTTCCAAATCTGAGAGCACCGTCTCTTTTTAAAAAGGATTTTAATTAGCCCTTTCATACTTACTTTGATAATTTATCATTTGGTTTTATTCTGTCAGGCTAATTTGTGACATGAATAAGTGATTTAATTCTGTACAATTTACACTTTTATTTTGGATGCAAGATTTTTTTTATACATTATTTTCAGAGAATTCCAATTCTGAATTATCTATACTATATTTAATACATGTAATGATTAGTACATGTAAACCTAATGAGAACATTTCTTTTTTTTCCCCCTTGACTTCATGAAGACAAATTGAGTGGCAGTAATAATGCGAACAAAAGACAAAAAATTGCTCAGGACTTCCTCAACTCTATTGACCAGACAGGAGAACTTTTAGCAATGTTTGAAGATGACGAAATTGATGAAGTTAAACAAGAAAGAATGGAGGTATAGTACATTCTTCCCTTTGTACAGTGACTATGCTATTTGGTTCTATTCTCATGTTCTATAAATATTACCTGAAATCTCCAAATCAGTGGTTTTATGTCTGATGGCAGTGATGTGCAGCGGATCAACCCCTGAAGAGGGAGTCAGACTTTGCCTTCAACGTCAACTTTGTTCTTGTTTCTTTTTTTGAAAACGAGTAGGTTTCCCTACTCTGGGTTTTATTTTATTAAGCTAATTTCTAATTAAATATTTACCTTTTTTGTTTCAAATTATCCAGTTTTATTTGTAAACAAAACAATTCTTACCACTTTTATGTTGGCATATATAGTGTGAAGAGCTATTCTTCTGGCTATAGTTGCAGGCTGTGGTTGGACTTACTAGCTATGTAGTAACCAGGGCAATTAATGCTTTATATCACTGCAAGACAAAATTAGTGACATGTATTTGGATTCTCTGGATGTGTCTTAACAATGGATTTCAAAATTGTATGTCTTCTATTTACCTTAGCTATCTATACATAAAATTATTTTCTTTAAACACTAAAGGAAAAAAATTTAAAGTAAAATGATTTATTTCATTTGAGTGCCTTCCAAATTACAAGGCAGTATTTTCACAGTTCATATTGCTATTATCATACTTTCACGTGTAAGGAATCTCCATTTTTTTCCCCCTCCCCTTCAATTGGGCAAGAGAGGTAATTTCAGAATTATAAAAGATTGTGCTAAATGCCAACTTTATTACAGTTTCTATGCATGCTGAAAATATAATTATTTTATGTTAAACTTTGGAAGAAGTCCAGTAGACATACATGCTTTATGAACTTAAACAACCTTTAAAGAATTAGCATGCTTAGATCATGAACTGTGATCTAAAGGCAGTGTTCTTTTAGGTATCAATTACTTTGGAAATGTGTGGTTATCTTGGTTTGGGACAACTGCAAATGGTTTTAGTTCAACTTTGCCTTGGGCCAAAAACATGCTAAGTTGTCCAAAGCAGATGATAAACATGTATTTCTGATGTCATCATTGCCCAAACAGGATATGGTTGTTTAGTGGCATGGTTTCACTTACGATGCATTACACAAAGAGCAAATATTGTTTATGCTTTATTTTCTAAATATTTTTATGTTATAAAAATGGGCCCTGAGAAAAATTCATTAAGGAATAAAGCATAATACATAAAGCATTAGTAAAATTGAACAGGTGACTCTTCAATTTTGATGGGAAAAATCTTGGTTAGCCAAACCTGTTGCCTAGAAGGGCATTCAACAATCAAGAAGAGAAGAAATAAACATTTTGTAGCTCTATAATAGCAGGCTACTGTAGACGTAGAAAAATGGGGGTCAGCAGGTTACTAAAGTCAGTAAAATATCTGGAGATGCAGTGTAGAAAAAGCTTGGGCACTTCTGCAGTCTGTATACTTCTTCTTTATAGTTAGGTATTATATAGTGTTATTCAGGATAATAAAATACCAGAAGTTGATAAAAATATTTACAATGGAAGTCTTCATAAGTACAATAAACATGAGGCTGGCAACTTCGCTGAGCTTTATATCATAACAAAAATCTTCTCTGGCCAATATAACAGAGTAGCTTTTATATTCTACTCATCCAGATAACAGAGTTTAACTGAAGAAATTATTCTGAACTTGTAGACATAACTGTAGACAGTAGATAGTGAAACTGTTCAGAGCATAAGCCTTGCCTGCTTCTAATTTGATAGGTTATAGTTTCAAGAGTAACCACAACCGTGGCCGTTCATATGAAACCACTTTGGACTCAGAGACTGCAATCTCTTGCTTTTAAAGTTTAGTAGAATAATCAGTCCTGGCATCATTCAGTGACTTAATTTTCCTCTAAGCATCACTTATAGTTGCAGAAACTTGGTTTACTACCTTCCCCCCTAGAATGTATGAAAATAATATAGACCTACCAACAGGCTTTATTTTAGTTTTCTTCTTTATAGATATAAAAACTCACTTAGTATTCTAGGTTTTTTCTCAAAACATGGAGCAAGCATACAGAAAAACAGCCTGAATTCGTTCCTGTTGTTTTCAGCTGATGTATGTGTGCTTGGCTTTATGTTTCATCCATAATTTACTTCATTATTATTAATTTATGTGACTTGAAATATGAAATTTCTGAATTTTTCATCCATTTTGCCTTACTAGTCCATCATGATGATAATTAACTAACTCTTACCCATTTATTTTTCTCTAGCACCAGATTCTAGTACTTAGGTATACCTGTAGTAGAGATCCATTATCTCAGAACATCCTTTTAAATTATCAAATAAAAATTAAATAATGTTCAGAGTTATTTTGGCATATTTGAGGGACTGAGAAAGAAAAGCAGGGAAATACATACAGCTATAGCTTCCTTCCAACCCTATCCACCTCCATTCCAAAATAAGGCATAAGGCAGGTGTGTCTTAGTGTAGCTAATGTTTCTTTCATTCTTATTTTTTGAGCTAATCATGTAATTTGTGGCTGTGTCAACCAAAGACCAAGGTACAGTCACTAAAAGCTCCAAATAGCTTTGGGTTTTCTTATCAGTGAGGAGCTGTGATCACTCACAGAAGAACCCTGCCTAAGAATCTGCTTTGCTGCTTGTAGAAGAACCTGCGAAGCTCAAGTTTGTTATTAATCAAGTAAACTATGTAGTCCTGTAAGCCACTAAGTTTGTAAAAAGATGTAAACAAGGGATGCTTAAAAGGTTGAGAGAACTCTACCTTCAGTCTAATCCTCAAACTGATAAAAGTAAACAAGAGTGCAAGGATTAGAGCTTACCAGAGAGTGCAGCTTTTAAACAGATTGGGGTGCAGAAAATCCCTAGTGACTTCTTATCTTGTGTTTGCATATCAGTCTTAATACTGGAATCTACAGAGAAAGCAGAGTGATTTACATAATATTTAAGGCAGCTTAAAATTTTTTGATAATAAACTTTAAATTGAATAAGATGCCAGGTGGTCATCTGAATTTGCTTAACCTGAAATGAGCTGACCATAAATTTGAAAACATGCAGTTTCTTGGCAAAGGCTGAATGATAAGAGAAATCAGGTGTATCATTCAGTTGTGCCCAAGTGTATCATGATTATCATTCCTGGGCATTTTGAGTCCCAGGGTTATAGTTTTTGGGGTAAGTGGACTAGAAAACTCATTGAAGAAGAGAGAGTGGATGTCTGTAGAAGTTGTCCATCTTCTCCTGTTTTTGAAGTCTTTCTACTATTCCCATTGCTACCTATCGTGATTTCTTTTAATTATAAGGGAAAGGAAAATAAAATGCCAAGAAAGATAACAATCCAAAAATATCTTAGATAAGACTTAACATAAAAGAAAAAGGCTAATCCCAGTAAGATAAACATTCACAAATACTAGAAAAGTTTAAAAGGTTGAGTTAAAAACTGAAACTCTTAAAAATGTTAGGATATATGGGATTATGAAATGAAGATAGAATTATATACTAGAAAGATGTATATATGTACATCATAAACACAGACATGTATATATATTTATATACGCAAATTCATTTATATGCATATACACGCTATGCCCAAATATACATATATGAAAATAGAAATTTATTTTTTCTAGATTATTTAAAAGGTAAAAGTTAAAGAACAGTCAGAGATATATCATACCCAAATACTGGTGGTTACAGTATTAATTACAGAGAAAAGAGAATTTAAGGAGGGAAGCTTTAAAATGGAATAAAGGCAATAATTTTTTGTTACTAAAAGATACTGCCTATACTTAAAATATAGTAGATGCAAACTGTTAATCATCAAATTCCAGAGCATTGAAGGCATCTGGTAGTGTGGGGAGAGGTCAGAGAAATAGATTTGTTATGGAGACTAGAACACACCATCTCAATCCTTAACTGATTAATTCAAGGGAAAAAATATTTTAATAAATATCTAAGTTTATCTAATAGATGCATATATAATGTTTTATGAATGAGCAGCAGTCTTAAAATCTTACCCAGGTAACTTCAAGGACTCCATGGGTCTCTTTAGGGAAAAGAGAAGAGGTTTTGTTGGGGCTCTAGCCTCCATCTCCCCTCACACCTTCAACTGGCACATCTTCAATTTTAGGTAATTGCTGTACATATCATCAATGAAGAAAGTGACTCACTATAGCTGTAGTCCCAGCTATTCAGGAGGCTGAGGCATTTGTGCCTAGGAGTTCAAGTTCAATCTGGGCAACATAGCAAGACCTTGTCTGTTGAAAACAGGAAAAATAAACCACTATTCAACCAGCCATGAGTAATCAAACTATATCTTTGTCTCTTTCCTTCACACCCACCTTTACACTCTCACTCTCTCTCACACACATACAGTCAGCAAAATCCAGAAATATATAGGGCATACTACTTTACCAGAATGGAAAGAAAACCTAGAAAGTAATAACAGAAGTTAAACTAACAAACAAAACCAGTTAAGATGGCAAATTAAAAAGGGAAAAAAATTACAGAGGCAACTGATGAACTGTAAACAAATTTAACAGTACTATCACAGACTATTTAGATAGTAACAATGAGAAGAGTCCATATAATATTAAACAAGTATAGGCAAGCTTTGTTAAAAAGAAGCAGCATTTCCGCTTTTAAGCCTTTCATTATTCAATTGGAGAAAATGAAAATCAAGCATTCAGCTAAAGTATATGAATATTATAATAAAATAGAGAAGGCAGGACAAATGAAAATACAAAGATAAACAGAAATAAAAAGAAAACATAATTAAATTTATCAACTTAAGAAATTCTTTTCAAATATAAGAACAAAGTGGTAGAATGAATTCGTGCCACCTCTAAATAAGAAAAATAAAAATTAATAGGTTGGTGCAAAAGAATTGCAGTTTTTGCTGTTAAAAAATTTAATTCTAGAATGCCCACTGTTACCACTTTTATTTGCCAGAGTTTAAGGAGCACTAAACAGTGCAATAAAAGGTATAGCTATTGGCAGGAGACAAAAATTTATCATTTTGCCATTAAAAGAGGTAAAA